GTGATTTTTTAACTGTTCACTTCTAGAAGGATTATATTTAGGACAAGTGATCGTCGGTACAATGGATGGAAATCGAATTTGGAACAAAGAGCTTTCTGCAAATGTTGCTGCATGCGAGGTAAAAAATTTGAAAAATGTCCTTCGATTGAAACAATTTGGTTTAGTGGTCTCCAAACGGGAATTTGCTTCTGTTTGGTATGGCAGATGGGGAAGTACACATCTATGATGCACAAGGGGCTTTTATAGTAGGTTTTCCTGAAATTTCTAAGTAAGCTTAGCTGAACGAAAATTGTATTGCAAACATGAGTGTGAAGATCTAGGGCATTTGCCTTTTCAGTAGGCAAAGTAAGAAGTAGCCCTAATCTCACAAATCTTGGTCAAAACGAGCAAACAAAATCAAAACTGAATTGGTTGATGTTTTTAGGAAAAACTGCACATGGTGGCACTTGAAAATGTGGAGCTGGAGACAGCACTGGCAAGTAAGCTTTTAGATCCATTTCCATTTATTCTAAACATAGCATACTTTCTTAACCAGAAGATTTGCGCAAGGACAACATTATCGCCTTGAAATGGTTTGCACCCATACAGAAAAGCCGAATTACAGATAATGGTAAGTATCCAAAGTCCTACTTTCTCATTTTTTTTTCAGGACTATCCAGAAAATTATACAAAGCAGTTTGTTAGCCAAAAACATTAGATTTGTAATATTTTTTAGACTCACCCGTCATGCCTCGTCTACCAAGATACCAATCGCTTGACTCTCTTCCTTTCGTATCTGATCAAAGACCCGATCAGAAGCCTAAACTTCTGATTGCATATGCTCATGGTGTCGTACAGTTGATGAGAAATGAGAATGATGTTTGTAAGTTTTATTTTCAACTTATCGAAAGAAAGTGTCTCGGGCAAATGAGCAGAAGTTCCGTGAGGCTTTCGAAAAACAAACCTCTTGAACCTTTTGTAAGACTGTTGCGGAACTTCCGCTTCCAACAGTGCTGCTGAAGTTAAAAAGTTAAAAAGTTTGAAA